TGTCTGGCGACAGAAGGGGGGGCCCAGTATGGGTGGAAAAACTCCACTGGTACCAATACTGCCAGTAGGCATGTCCTCATCCCTGGGCTTCGAGCGGTATGCCTCTTGCAGCAGGTCCATGACTGTGAATCACCCAAACTCTAGCAGTCTCACATGCTTTGGAAAAACTCACGTTAAAATGAGAAAGATAGAGGCTTTTGTCTGAAGGCCTTCCTGTTGGGGCAGCCTTCTGAATTTGCACTGAGTACTTTGGCTTCTGTGTCAAGCATTCCACCAGCACTGGTCTCCTCCCAGGATTGTTTTCTGTCCCTGGTGCTGAGGAAGAAGCATAAGAAACAGTGCACTGAGAGAGGGTGCTCTCTGGTGCCAAAGAGGGACAAGCAGGCAATGGCTGACATAGTGAGATCAGTGCCAGGCCACTTGTCTGTCCCCAGAGCCACTGTTGGCTCCAGCAACTATGCCTATAGCTCTGAGTCCTGTGAGGAACCCACCTCTGACTCGTGAGATCTCACTCCTGCTGGTTTCTTCAACTCTGGTGGCTTTTCAAGTGTGACAGGACCTGATGGCCTTCCCAATCCTGTTCACCCACAAAGGTCTCATGCCAGCCAAGGCTACCTGGAATGGAAGGCATCAAGGGGCAGTGAGAGCCATCCCAGCACCAGCCACAGAAAAAGCCGCCATGGTCCCATTGCAGCAGTCTCTGATTTGTTGTTAGTCACTGGTTCCCTGGTGCCATGTGAAGGTGGAAGTGGTTACTGTGTTGCTGTGGTGTCTTGAGGGATCCAAAGAGGGAATCCTTTGCTCTGCTGACGAAATTCCAGTGTCTGACTTGTGCACCAGGCTTCGGTTCTGACTTGTGGTGATAGATATTGTGTAATTGAATAGTTGTGTAACTGCATGAAATCTTAGAAGGCACACAACTATTCAATAGTCCCCAGAGGAGGGGCTGGCAGCCAGTGTGGGCCAGGCCCAACTCCCAGGGAGCCCCCTGATACCCTACACTGCTGCTTCTGTATCAGAGGCAGCAGCATGGGGTGGCAGGTAGGAACTTGTCTGTGAGGGGAGCCGGTTGATAAAACAGCTCCCCATGCAGACCAGATGCCTGCTGCCCTGCACTGCTGCCTCTAATACAGAGGCAGCAGCACAGGGTGGTAGTAGCCCCTCTCTATAGGGGGTCTGAACTCCCCACGCACAGAGGCTGTTCCACATCCCCATGGGATGATAGAGGCAGCAATGCGCAGCAGTGCATGGTGGAGAAGGGGAGGTGGCACCAGGGACCTGGTGCTGGGGTGAAAGAGCTTTTAAACAGGCTTCCCTCCACCCAGCACCAACTCCTGCCTGCTCCTCCCTTGCTGCCTCTGTAAGGAGGCAGCAAGGTGGTGGGGCAGACAGGTCCAAGGGAGCCCGTACATGAAAGCCGGCTCCTGGCATGTATTGGCTCTAGTTGCCCCCTTCACCCTCTGCACTGCTGCCTCGCTATGAGGAGTAGGGTGGGGCAAGCAGATCCAGTGCTTACAGTTTAAATCCTGGCTGGACAAAGCCCTGGCCGGGTTGATTTAGTTGGGATTGGTCCTGCCTTGGGCAGGGGGCTGGACTTGATGACTCCCGAGGTCTCTTCCAGCTCTATGGTTCTATGGTTTTATGTTTACATGATTAACCGATAAGCCTGGGCTCATTGATTAATCCTAATGGTTACATGACCCCACCCCCTTTGCTGCCTCTGATTCAGAGGTAGCAAGGGATTAACCTATAAATTGTCTACATACTGACAGCTGTAGTTCTAGCTCTTGGCCACTGGGTTACTGTCCAATATATTGGCAGTATTGGCACCAGTGGGAGTTTCTCATGGTACTGAGACCCCCTTCCACTGTTGGTACTTGGTGTCCAAGAGAGACACTGTTTCATCCTGCTCCGCATTGGGCCCTGATAGTGGCACTGACCCCAATACTGAGGTTGCAGAAGTGGCTCCATTGGAAATGGTGCAGGTAGGGGAAGCAGAGGCATTCTCTGGTGCTGGTGTCTTCCTTGTCGTTCTCCTGCAATGGCGATCACCGGCCCCAGCAACCTGCTCCTGCTGGATGATTTCAGGGCCCATGAAAATCTTCTAAAAAGGGTTACCACAAACTGGGGGCTAGAAGCTGAGGATTGACAGTCTGTGCACAGCTTAATTAGTGTCATGGCTGCATTGTCTCCCTCTAGAGTGACTCTGCCAATTAATGAGGCAGCGCTGAGGCTTGTCAGGGTGCCATGGCAGATCCCTTTGTCTCTGCCCCCATCTCAATAAGCACACAGAAGAAGTGCTGTGTATTGGGCACTGGGTTTGAGTACCTGTACTTGCATCACTCCCACTTCCTCCTGGGATAGTTCCAGATAGTGTTGACTGCAAACAAGTGGGACAGAGAGAGTAGTTGAGCATTACTCCCAAAAATCTGGAGGCTGACTGGTATGCCACTCTCAATTTGAAGGACTCTTATTTCCACATTTCCATCTTCCATGAACACAAAATATTGCCCAAGTTTGTGGTGGGTCAATGCCACTCTTAATTCATCATGCTTCCCTTCAGCTTATTGGCAGCCCTAAGCATGGTAGTGGTTGTTGCTCTTCTTGGACATCAGGATGTTCACAGGCTCAAATCCAGCACAGCATTGGCATAGTTTTAATCATACTTTTTAATCTGATCCCAGCTCAGAAAATAGAGTTAATCAGGGCAGTACCTACCCTGGCCTAGACTTATTTACTGGAGACCAAAATCTGAATTATGTCAGGTCTCCTCTATCAGATCTCAACCCACCCTCTTAAAACTGCCTGGGTTTGCCTCAGATTGGTGGCATATACTTATGTGGTGCAGTACTTATGCCTTAGATTCCTATGTGTGTGGCTGGTGTTAATCACAGTTTTGTCCCGCATCCTAACTTCTCTGGGCTGATGAAGAGACCTGCATTCTGTAAGGAAAGGCGTATCTTTTGCCACCCTGTATCCATTAGTAACCTTGGTTTTGGATGCACCACACTCCTGTTGTAGGACTCTGGCCTCTAGTCCCAGGAAGAATTCTCTCTGCATATAGATGTCAGGGAACTCAGGACAGTACACTTGGCTGCCAGATGTTCCTTCCACAGATCCAAGGCATGGTGGTTCAGGTCTTGACAATATGGCCTCAATGTTTTACATCAACAAGCAGGGAGGAGCTGTTTCTTAGCCAGAGGGCTGTTGGCACAGGGACTGTGGGTTTTCTTTGTGAAGCACATCATTCACCTTGAGGCGTCACATCTCTGAGAAGCCTGGAATGGGCACTGGTGGATTGTGTCAGCAGGTTCTTTTCCTTTCATCACCTCTGGTTTATTCATGTGAACCTGTTTGCCACCAGCCAGGTCAGGAAATGCCATCAGTTCAGTTCTGTGCATGAGCTTGGCAGGGGCTCCATCTGTGATGCCTTCTTGGTCTTGTAGGCAGACCATTTACTATATCTTCCCACCAATTCCCTTGGTTCACAAGATTCTCCTAAAGACCAAGTGGGACAAGGCAAAGGTTATTCTGATAGGTCCGGCATGACCATAGTAGCATTGATTCAGAGTGCTTCTGGACCTCTCAATGGCAGCTCCACTTGTGTTCCTATTCTTTCTGGGCTTGATTTCACAAGACTGTGGCAAGGTTGCTGTGTGGCTGAACTGTGAAGAACAGATCTGCTCAAAACAGGTTCGACAGGTCTTGCTAGGTGACAGCCTTCCACTGGGGCTTCCTACTTTGCTAGACTACGTGTTCCACCTTAAACATCAAGGTCTCTTTTTCTCATCTATGAAAGTTCACATGGCAGTCTTCTCAGCTTTCCACCCCACACAGTGTAAGACATTTCGTCTTTTCCCACGAGATGATGGTCTGGTTCCTCCAGGGCCTAGAAAGACTCCATACTTGGGTTCATGATCTCATTTTCCCCATGGGACTGAAACAGTCCTGTCAAAGCTCACAGGACCTCCCTTCATGTTGATCTAATCACTCAAACTATTTCCTACTCTCTGTAGTTATGGCTTCTCTACTTAGGGTTGTTTGGCGCTTCAGCATTAAATAATTGAAAAGGTGGTAGTTAAGACCCATGTTAGCAATGCCCTGATCAACAGCAAGGAAATATTTTTTGTTTGGTTTAGCAAGAATAGATAAGCTGGCACAAGACAAAATGGAACAAGTGGGGGGTATGATATTATTACATGTAAATATGTCTTGCTCAAGAAAATCCAGGTGGAGACCTATATATAAAAGATTGTGTAAACAAGAAATTTATTCTTGATGCTGCTTTATGCAAAATGATTATTTGCAGACATAATCACAATACTATAAAATTAATTGTTAGTGCAAATGCCAGATTTTCCTAACCTTTGCTCACCAAAATTGGTATCCTTCCTTAAATGTGATGTTTAGGATTGTGTCTAATACAATAGGTATTGTGTCTCAGTTCTTGCTATAAGCAAAATGTAGCTGTTTTTAAAACCTTAGGGACATCTGTATAGTAAAAAAGCTAATCTAAGAAATTTCATACTCCATGGTTAGGTAATTAATAGATTCTGTATGTTCTAAGGACAATGGAAAACTTATCTATGACAGACATCTGGGCTACTGTCTTTCTATCAGGTATTATTGCTATCTTAAACTGAGAGTCATTCTGTAATAGACACTTTTAAAAATTCACAAGTAGCTTTCCTTGTATAGGATATCTTATTATTATACTTGGCTTAAAGCGTGTTTCTCAAATTTGCCCAGTTTTAGCTGAAATGGGAGAGTAAAAATCTGGGAAACTTGTTCCATTTGAGTCTGGAACAAGTACATTTATATTTTGTATTCTAAACAATTTGTTAGCCAAAGTTAGTGAATTAAAATGAGTGACATTCCAAATACATGTTGAGTTTTTCTTTTCTTCATAAATTGATCCTGCTAATACTTACCCTGTGTGATTAATGTTGATAATTCAGCCTGTAAATGGCAACTAATGAGCTCTTCACTGCTTTTGGTAGGGAGTCTGACATTGTTCCCTCAGCGAAGAACCTCACACAGTCAAATTCTACTGCGAACCGTAGTCATGACAGATCAGCTAAGGAACCATCACAAAAGAGAAGAACAGGAAGACGGAAGAGAACCAACTCTGATAACTATGATGCAGATTACACCACTGGAGGGGAGTCTTGTGATGAGCTGGAGGAGGACTGGGACAGGTACTGACAATAACTTCACCTGTTGTTGAAATAATACAAACTCCACTGCCTGTGATGCTTTAGATGGGTTAACCTAGTTAACAAGTGTAGTGTGTCTGTTGAATGTGGTAGTGTTTGGAACTTGTTATGGATATAGCTGCCTTACCACTTCCGATCTGTAGATGGTGGCAGCATAAGGACTGTTAATGGAGGACCTCTTTTTTATATTTGGAAACGTTGCCTTTGAAAGGAGTATTTGCAGCAGTAGCATTATCTACTGTTCCTTGTGTCTGAAGTAGCCTCTTCCACTGATTCCACTACTAAATGATCTTGTAATGTGATCATTTAAACAAGTTTTGGATGTCTTGAGACATCTGCGTTCACCAGAATGCCCCAGGTATATTTCAGGCATCCCATTTATATTTTATTCTAGAGACTGAAGCAGTTAAAACAATAACAGATGTTTCAAAAATTGGTTTAGTGAGACCTAACACTACTTACCAGAGTAAGTTGAGTGCATATATTCTTCGTGCTCTTTGACAAAAGCTAACTCTTCCTCCTTTGCAACACTCCTGTTGCTTCAATACTGAAATGCATTGTCTTCTCCCTGAGGTTACAGAGCAATCTAGTAAATCAACTTACTTAGTCTTTAATGTCCTCACACAGTAAATGCAGTTTAATGGAGTGTAGGTCTTGTCCTTTGATAAGATTACAAGTTTGATTAATAACAGTAACACTGGTAAGTAACTGCATGCTATTCCAATTTTTAAAAATCGGTTCTATAATATCAAGAGAACACATCAGGTGGCTTAAGAACTGGTTAATTGCCAGATCTGAAAGTAGAATCATTATAGTGGCGTTCTGAAGGGATCTATTCAACATTTTTGTCTATGATCTGGAAGCAAGTATGAAATCGTGAATAAAATTTGCAGATGAAATACAGTTTGTTAGAATGGTAAATAATAATGATGGGGAATCATGCAGAATGATCTGGTTTGCTTTGTGATTGGGGCTTTTCAAGAAGAATGCATAACTTCGTGTTTGATCTTAATCTAAAACAATGTAGGAACAAGTAATGCTAGCAATACTTATAAAATGGGAGAATATATCCAGGAAAGCAGTCACTCAAAAATGGTTTAGGAGTTACAATGAAAAAGTAACTTCACGAGATCCTATTGTGGTGCTGTGACAGAAAAGGTAAGGTAATACACAGGGAATATTCAGTAGAAGTAAAATAACCTTCCTTCTATCTATGGCAGTGACCAGCTATTCCAGTATTGTGCCTCATCCCTCTTACAGAAAGTCATCCAAGTCTTGATTTAAAACAGTGGTCCCCAACGCGGTGCCCACGGGCACCATGGCGCCCACCGGGGCATTTGTGCGCGCCTACCGACAACCTGGGCCGGCCCTGCCCCCAGCGCGCGGCGCACGGGAGGTGCCGGCCCCAGGCGCGCGACACAGACCAGCACCGGGGCCCATGGCACAAGGCGCTCGGACGGCCCCAGCCCCGGCCCTGGGGCACATGCTGGCGCAGGGTGCAAGGGCATCCCCGTCCCCTGGCGTGTCCCCGGACGCACGGCCCCGCCCCCGGGCGCCCGGCGTGTGAGTGGCCCCGCCCCCAGGCGCCCGGGAGCCTCTAAAGGTTGGGAACCACTGATCTGTGGTATTGATGAGACTGATACTTGATTGCTGTCAACTGTTCTAGAATGCACATTTTAAGGAGGATATTGAAACATTAGGGAAAGTACAGAAGAGTGTCACAAAAATGCTTTAAGGGCTGGAGAAAAGTCTCACAGTGAGAGATGTGAAGTGATCAGTCTGTTCAGTTTATCAAAAAGGAAATTGAGAGGTGACTAGATTACAGCATACCTTCACTGAAAGAAAATAGCAAGTACTAAAGGGCTCTTATCTTAAAGGAGAGAATCATAGCAAGAACTAAGTAGCTTGCAAAGGGGGACCCTACCCCTCACAGTGCTACTAACATCTCTGTCATGAGCAGTAACAAAAGTTTTAGAGGAGTAGCCATGTTAGTCTGTAACTAGAAAAACTTAAAACAACAAATAGTCTTGGCAGCACCTTAGAGAGTAACAAAAATGTAGTTGGTATGATGAACTTACATGGGCACAACCCACTTGTTCAGATGAAAGAAGGGGGTTGTGCCCACAAAAGCTCATGCTATCATCTACATTTTTGTTAGTCTTTTAGCACCTTAGAGACTATTTGTTGTTTTATGAGCAGTAACAGTCATCCAAAGCTTAACATGCACTCCCACCCTGCATCAAATGGTTAAACAAATGCTTTCATTTGTACAGCTAAAGATAGTCCATACCATATGTAACAAGTGATTCTCTCTCATCCTTTCCCGCTATTTCCCTAGGGAATATCCACCAATAACATCAGATCCTCAAAGGCAAGCATATAAGCGAGACTTTGACTCTGGATTACAAGAATACAAGAGTTTGCAAGCTGAACTTGATGAAGTTAGTAAAGCACTCACTCGACTGGATAAGGAGTTGGATGACTACAGTGAAGACAGTGAGGAATATAAGGTATTTCCATGGATAACTTGAAAGTTTATGCAAAATATCTGGAAAGGGCAGCACTTATTTTTTGCAAAATAGGTTCTATATAGTAATGTTCCTTTGTCATACAAATTACTATGTAGCAAGTAAAAACTTAGCGTTGGTGAACTGATCAAGCAAAATTTAATGGATTTGAATTTGAAAAAGGATCTCTTCAGATTTTAGAGATTTTATTAAAATTTTGATGGGATACTGAACCTTTGTCATCATTCATTGGAAAACTCTTACAAATAGAGTGAAAAATTTTCCTGATATTTTGATGGTAAGGCCATCATAAATCTTAAACTATACTTCAGAGTTCTACATATTTGCCTGGGATTAAAAAAATCCGTGTACTAAAAAAAATACTGATAGCAATAATCTCTTCTATCAATACCAGGATTTTTGTTCAGCCTAGAATATTATTCCCCACCTCCTTTAGATTTTTTCTTAATTAAATGACCCTTTCTCCTATTAAGAGAGAATGGCATGCCATATATCCTAACACAACTAGATTTCTAGCTGTAAAACTCCCAGGCTGTCTACCAGGTTGTTATCCAAAGGCTATTTTTATTTACTCTGTAATTTAACTTCCTTTCTTTGTAACTTCAGATTTTCCCCCCCAAATGTATGGTTAACTCAAAACTGTGTACAGGTTAAACTACTTTAGTCCAGTGTTCTCTGATCAGCAACATATGTGGTCCAGCATTATTTTAGTTAGCTGGATGTCCACTTATGATGGGTGTGGTGAAGTTTCACACTGTCCCATTGAGACTTAGTGATAGAAATGTAGCCGTGTTAGTCTGGTGTAGCTGAAACAAAATACAGGACTATGTAGCACTTTAAAGACTAACAAGATGGTTTATTAGATGATGAGCTTTCGTGGGCCAGACCCACTTCCTCAGATAAAAAAAAAATGTAGATCTAAAATGTAGTTTTAGAAAATGCTTGGCTTTATTAAAATAATAAAGACGTCTTAAAATCACTATTTGATGGGAAAACATGTTTATTAAGGATTTTCCCATTTTCAAACAAACAACAAAATGAACATAACAAACATACAAGAACAAATTCAATCCTATCCAGTGAGTTAATGTCCATTGAGACCTGTAACCCAGGGTTCCCCCACGCTGTGATGTGTGATTCCCACTGACTCACCCACATGTGTATTAGCCCAGACACCTAGTCCCATCCTGAGCAGATAACAAGTCTCTTCCCAGGGAGAGAGACAAAGGAAGGGAGGCAGAGATGGCCACCTGGTTGGAGGGCAGGGCTTGGGAGCTGGGCAGTTTTTTGGCTGGAAAACCATGAAGAGAACAGACTAAGCAGAGTGGACCCCTGCCCCAAGGGGTCTAGAGCTGCCAGCCCCGACTTCTTATGTCCACATCACATCTATGCTGTGCTGTATCCTGGAGAACCAATAAACTCTCTCTATTCTACTGGCTGGTGGAGTCTCATCTTGCTGGAGACAGGGTGCAGGATTGGGGGGGGGGAGGGGGGATGTGCAGCCACACCCCTAAAGCTTGTTTAGCCACCAGTCCTGGCTTTCAGTGTTCTGTGCTGTTATTTAGCTCTAATTTACCCCTAAATGTTTTCTAAGAGCCCAGTAAGCAGTGGAAATGTTGGTAAAGCTGCTAGACAGTATTGATCTCTCCCGGCAAATTCTCTGGTTCGGAACCAGTCAGGTCCCAAAGGTGCCAGACTAGAGATGTTCAACCTATAATATAGTATTAAACCTGTCAAGTATCAGAGGGGTAGCCGTGTTAGTCTGAATCTGCAAAAGCAACGAGGAGTCCTGTGGCACCTTATAGACTAACTGAAGTGTAGGAGCATAAGCTTTCGTGGGCAAAGACCCACTTCGTCAGATGCATGTCGTGGAAATTTCCAGAGGCAGGAATAAATATGCAGGCCAGGATCAGGCTGGAGATGACGAGGTGGATCCAATCAAGGAGGATGAGGCCCTGTGATATTAAACCTGTGTTGTTTATATCACTGCCGTGAACTGTCCTTATTTAAATTTCTCTCTAATTATAGGTTGCTGCTGATCAGTACAATATGATGAAGGATATAAAAGCAGTAAGTATCATAAGGTTCTTCTTTTTCTGTTTGTTATTTCTAAGGACTTTTTAAAAAAAATTCTTCCTCCTTTTTTCTCTGTCCAATTCACATGCAGAGTGACAACTAATGGAAGCAGTGTCACAATACTTTTCTTATAGCAGATCTCTGAGCCTTCCGCAATAAATTCAAATCAGACTTGGTAATGTAGTCAATAGTGTAGTCAGTCTAGTTGTTGTGCTTAAAAGAAGCACCCAGGATCTTTTTCAGGGGGATAAGGCAACATGCCACATTTATTGAACATACATAGATCAGTCAATACTTTATCATATGCATATGACACATTACACTCATGCATTTATACACACGAGCACACTCCATCTTGTTACCAATAGTTGCTCCCCCTAAATACACTGGCCAGGTGAGCTAGATGGGGGAGGGGTGGAGCTGAGCTTCTGCTGATCTGGATCAATGCTCAGATGTTGACAAGACAAAAACCCAGGGTCCCTCTGCAAGATGCCTGGTATTTATTTCTCTCATGCTGCCAGTTAGTCATCACCTCGCCTTTTTTAATGCTGCTTCAAAGAGAGTCCTTTCAAGGGAAGGCACTTGCTGCTTGACTCCCAAGGCTTCTGTATGTCCAATCTTCTTTCCAGTGAGCTCACTTCATAGGTATTGTCTTGCATCTGGCTCCCAGCCCCTCTTCACCCTTGCAGCTGCTGCTAGAGGTGCTCACCTTTCAGTCTCCATTCACACCTCATTAATTTCAACAGGGCCATCAAGGAAAGGGGAGAGATCTACTCTTCTCTGAACAGAAGAATATTTTCTTTACCTTAACTATTCCTAAGACCTATAACATAAAGAGCTTGATAAAAAGTTTCTATGGAAAAGACTGGATACAAGGTTTCTCTTAATACAAAGTTATATGAGAATGATACATGGTTATATGGAAATGTTATGGAGATTTATCCACATAGTTTTGACTGCTTATACCAGGGCTGAAATTGACCTAACCTACCTCACACCTGTTGAGAGGCTTCTTAGTATGACTGTAGTATAATGGGTGTTAGTGATGAGATGACTCCAGCTAGCACAGTATTGAACACAGGTGAAAGTAAGGTAGTACACACTGGTGCAGCACTCTGTCAAGAAACAGCTGGCTGGCTGGGGCTCTTGACTGCATCTGCTCCCAGACAGGCATCTGGGGTCTCCTGCAGGCTGCCTTGCTGAAAGCAGGTACCCAGGCAGGTGAAAGGGGCTGGGTGGGGTGTGCCTGCCCCTACCCCCTCGTACCTCCTGGTCCAGGGCTGTCACAGCCCCCCTGCACTCTTTAGGGAGACTGGGGTAGGCCTGCAGCCTCATATACACAGAACTCTGTGGGTCTTCTTCCCCTGACTATAGGGAGTGAGGGGAAAATGTGCAGTTTGTGTCTTCCTCTCACTGCTAGCTGCCCAGAGGAGAGGCAGAGAAGGAATGCAGAAGGCAGTGCACTTTACTCTTACCTCCTGTTCAGTAGGGAAGGAGAAGAGCAGTAGTGACTCTACTATGTATGGCTGGAGCCACCACCCCCCTGAAATGGTGCCCCCCCACATTAACCCCTAGATACCCCAGCCCTGACTCCCACACCTCCCCATCTCCTGCCCTGAGGCCACCCCCATTCCACCCTTTACTTAAATTTCTTACAGGCACTCTCTTAGTCCCCTGCCCTGAGGGCTCCCCCCCAAAGGGGCTATGATATGATAGTACCTGTAAGAAACTTAAGTTACTTTCTCCCTTGGAGAATGAATGGCAACTGAATTTAAAGACTTCAAGTATTGGGCTTCTCTTGATTTAGTCTGTCAAATTGTATGTGTTGGTAGGCAAACTTTTTAGTAAGGGACTAAGATTGCATTGGCAGGGAGATAGGAAAGGTCTATCCATTCAGTATCTTATACAAAAATAAAACCAGCAAATAAAGGTTCATCTCTTACCTAATCTAAATCTGAAACCTCCTCATACATGAGAGAATAGTATCATCTGACTGCCAGTTTCAAAAGCTTTGAAACAATAGATGAAATGTTGCCAACTCTTTCAACTTTATAGCCCGTCTCATGATTCTTTGTGTCAGTCTTAACACCCCAGGTGATAGAACTAGGTTATTGGCTTCTTCACTGACATTTTTAGAACTCTGAGATTTATATTTATTTAAAATGTGTATATTCAAGTGTAGCCCCTAGACTAGAGCATTTTTATCTGAAAAATATTTACTTTTACATACTTACCAACCAAAATTCTCTAATTCCACAATTGATTTGTGTTCTTTATTTTTAGTCGGCAGACTATAAGAACAAAAAGGCACGGTGCAGGACACTGAAGAGTAAACTGTCGCATGTAAAAAAGATGGTCAGTGATTATGACAATCGGAAATCCTAGAAGAGAAAAGAAGGAAAAAAATTAGAATCACTAAATTATGTACAGTTTTGTAACAATGGGATATAAAGTGACTTTGGTTTCAGCTGAGAAACAAAGTCCCCTTTGTCTTGTTGGCTAAAAAACAAAACAACCCACCATCAACTGCCTGAATTTAGTTACTGAAGTGTAACAACTAATGTTGATACCTTGTTTACTATTGAGTATGGCCTCTAGCAAACCAAACAGAGGTCTGTTCTGTTTGAAGCCTGGCATTTTTACTTGGGAACAGATCAGGTCCCAGGTTTGTTATCTAAAAGTTTGACTGATTTAGTACTAAGTTGCAGACTTCCCTCCTTTTGTCAACTGTGGTTGAGGACTTTTAAATATTGTTTCCCCTGTCTGCATATTGATTAATTCCCAGCTTTGTTCTCCACTCCATATAGTATACCTAATTTTGAAAAGCAGTTCCAGATAATGCTACATTTCTTCTGGCTCCTAATTGCAGCACATTTGGATCTGTGTTGCTTGCATAAACAGTAAGCGCAATGGCCTTCAAAAATTCACTCCTCCAGTATGCATTATATCCCATTGTAACCATTCCATTCATAGGGTCATGATTAACTTTTTGTTTAGAAATGAGTTAAGTTGTATTAATGGGGCCAATGCTGCTTACCTAATAGGGTGTAATTAATGGAAACGTGAAATTAAATGTGAATATTTGTTTCTTTTTTTTAAATCTTCATTTGTATCTTACCTTTTTTATTGTACAGGCGTGTATTTAGAATAATCAGTTGATTTTTATGACTTAGTTATGATTTGTAAGTGCGTGACTATGTACAGAATCTGGTTGTTCCTGTGAGTTGTCTTCTGTTAAATACAATTTATTATTTGACAATTAAGTGATGCATTTAACTTTGACCATTTTTGATCAGCCAAAATGTTTTGACCATTATAATGACTATAACCAAAGTAATTTTTATAAAGTTCTGAATCTTCTTTTTTTAGACTTAAATTTCCATGATGATTAACAATTTAAAATGTAGTCTCTTAAGAGGAAAAGGAAGTGAGTTCATGGAAATTTGAGAACACTTTATACCTAATGAAGCAACTTTTTGTGTAAAGCTGCACCATTAAATTTGTGATGTAATACTTAAATTTTCTGCAGCATATAGTTTAAGTAAATAATTGCTCACATTAACTGTTCTCAAAAGGACAAAGGTAAGCAAGTTGGTGCTTTTTAAAACACGTTTGCCTATGTTACTGATTACCTTAAATAAAACCATTTTACAAAAAAATCTGATTTTATCATTTTTTTTCTTCTGCAATTTACACTGGATGATGTAAATTAATTAGTCCTTCTATTTAATATGATTCTGATTCATGTGTGCTGGATGAATGTTTAAGTATTTGGGTTGCAAATAGTACAGGGAAATAATGTGAATTTCTTTTAATCTGTTTACATTGGAATTTTTTTTTAAATGAAATATTTTCTATGGGTGTGTGGTTTTATACAACCTACATGTGGGGCCAAATCTTATGTGACATAATTAATAGAATGCAGCACATAAAGCAGCTGCTTTTCAGTTGGATATTTAGTCAACATGATTAATGCCAATTCTATGTACATACAAAGACTACTGAATATATCTAATGTTGCCACTTGTTTCTGAAGCTGTGTAATTAAACCAAATTGTATATCAATTTCTTGGTGTTACTTACATAAAGCTGAAATGAGAACTAAAGAGAAGCAAGTAGTCATTCCATCCACCTTTGTGTTCCTACAGAACAAGTGTTCGGAAATAGTCTTTTCTTAGTGTCTAAATTTTAGCTGCTCATTGCAGACAACAACCATCTGAATTATTGCTAGCTTTTAAGAAGGTGAGATTTCTGACAATGAGTGTACATGATTGACTATTGATCTAGCAATATATTGTTTTGGAAGGTTTGACTTCCAAAAACGTAACTCAAGAACTGTGGGTGATTTGATTTTTTTTCTTTTTAATTTGTAGCTGAAAAAATATGTTGTTCTGTACACTTTAATAGATTTGAACATAATATGAAGCTTTTCACATCATTGAAGTTGTTAAAGTTGAATACATATTTATCTGGATACCCACTGAAACTTAAAGTATGTGTTAGCTGATGCATTTACTCTTCAGTGGTGCTGCTGACTGATGATCTATACCCATGTTTTCAGAAGCATTACAATCCATTTTAAATAGGTTCCTCAGTGAATACATCTGTGTGCTTTGCACCACATTTATATATACAATACTCAATTCTAGGCACCCACCACCAGTTTGACAAGCAATGATAGTGCAACTTAAACTCTTACTAGACATTACATGGGACTATATTTAGTATTTCCCCCCATTTACTTATTGTAATCCCTACAAGGAGTTAGCTGAGTGTGTTGAGCCCATCCTCTCTTGGCAAGGCATGAGACAAGTCTTTCTTCTGGGTGGCCTAAGTACATGTCTACATTGTGTGTTCCAAAGCACAGCTAAGTGGCCAATTTATTTTACTAGTCAGTGGCCAAACCAAAAGCTGTAGGTTTTTTGGTGGTGGTGGTATGTGTGCGCTTTTTTGCTTTATGTTGAACTAAAACTGAATTGTTCCTTGACAAAACAAAAAAACTGGAAACATTATTTTCAGGTCAAATAATTTGTACCCTTTTAATTTGAATAAATCCAGCTAAATTTGAAACAAAACATATTTTAAAGAAAAGTCAAAATGTTTTGTTTTGAAACATGTTTCTATATTTTTATAGGTAAGTAAGTAGTCTAAAAGTAGTGGGATCCAATTAGAAAAAGAACATGTAAGCATCCATCAGTTCTTCAACCGAGATTTTCAAATTGACGACAGAAATAACACTACAGGTTGTACCTCTCGGGTCTGGCACCTTTGAGACCTGACCCATCCCAACCAGGAAATCTGCAGAACCAAGGGAGGTCAATGCCATCCCCTCTGCTGCCACTGGCTGCGGGGCTCTGCTCTGGAGGCAGCAGTGGGGCCAGCATTAACCAAGCAGGGACTTGGGGGTGGAACTCAGGGTTAGAGGCAGGGTACCTGAAGAGCCCAGGAGTGCAGCCCTGTGGGAGCACAGCAAGTCCCACAGCTTCTGGACTGCACTCTCAGACATCAGGTGCAGGGCTCCACCGCCAACCTGCCTCTTCCCTTGTTGTTTGCAGTGCTTTGGAAGCTCTGGCAGGGCATGGGGGAGGAGTTGCTAAGCACAGGGCCTGGCTTTTTCCCATGAGTGCTCCAGCCTGGGAGCACCCATGGGGATGCCAAACCACAGATGATGCCAGACTATGGAAATCCAGACCATAGAGCTGTAGTCAGTCAGGATTTACTGCCGAGGCGTCCTCACAGGTCTCTGGCTCCATGGATGATGATAACCAGAAGGCTGTGTGCCATGTCGACTCATGCACATCTCCACAGCAGACCCCAAGAGATCAGAAAAGGTTTGAAGGTGCCTGGCCAGGTTTTTTGCTAAGCAAAGTATAGTAATAGTTGTCAGTAGATTCTACTGAATCACTACACATATGCAATTTGTAACAACGGAATGACTCAGTCAGTGGGAAATTCCAGTGCCCCCTAGGTCATCCAAAGACTGTCCTTTTTCCCCCCCCTCCCCCAAACACCACTTTATATCCAGGTACAAACAAGTTACCCATCACTGTCAGGTTGCCACCCTCTGATGCTACTTAGATACCATCCATCACCCTGAACGTCATAGTTCGATTAGATCATCTGTATCCATCATGCTTTCATTTTAGATCTTTTCTGAACCTGGCTCTGTATCTGTGGGGAGTGTGGGTACCAAGGTTTCTTCTAATGAGCTGGTACTGGTACCATGTGCTTTCAATTCATGACCAGTACCAATTACTGTTCTACACCTGGGCATATTACCAATAAGTTTTTTGCATGCTCAGCCCTGTTCGTGCCATGTTCTGTGAGCAGGGGCCTGCTCTTGCTCATAGCCTAATTTTGCTTTACATTAGCCATGTTTTGTCTGTTAGGCCTCAGGCCAGCCCTGTGCTACATGGGCTTATGTTTTAGGCCCTCATCTTACTTCAAGAGGTTGACCCTGTAGTATGACATCAAGCACAGGGGTGAACAAGGTATTTGATCTGGAGGAAATGTCTTCTTTCAGGAAATTCTTGTGATGACTGTTGTACATGACTATGGGCAGATCTACACTAGACCTGGAAGGTCAGTTTAAGGTACGCAACTCCAGCTACATAGAATACATAGATGGCGTCCGCTTACTGTAAGCTACAGGAGGCTGACAGGAGCAAACGCTCCCATCTGTTTCCCTTATTCCTTGTGACTGCAAGGAGTACAGATGCTGGCTGAAGCTGCCCTCTGAGTTTGATACAAGGGTCTATACTAGACATGCAAAATTGAACGCCAGAACATCTGTCTTCAGTGCAGCAAGGGAAAACATGCCCTAAATTTCTATTCTGAATTTGCATTAACACAGGGCTACACAAACACGATGTGAAAATACCCTCAAGACTGTAAATGCTGGAAGATTTTGTGTGTGAGACTCCGTTGAAGTACTCCTGCATTAAACTAGACATGAACTAAATTAAATTATATTCTAGTAGGTTGAGAATGCTATATTTAAAATATTGCTAGAGTTTAAGAATGGTCCTGATACATTATTCTCTTGGAACAATGTTATATTTTTGTTAACATTTACTAAGACTTAGCCATTTTATGAAGATGGATACTTAATTTAAAAAATGCTGTTTATCTTCTGCATAGCAATTACCACACCCACTCATAATATTGTTCCATGTAATAAATGTTGGGAGATTGCATATACAAGTCCAGTAACTGTCCTTAGGTTTGTAATGATGTTTTATAACAAAGTAAATGATCCCAATTAAACAGGTTCCTGGTCCCAGGGAAAGGGTTCTGAGGTCAGTCTGATATTCTATTTTAATTTGTAAAAACTGATTAACTTTTTGTTTGTTCAAATTGTTTCTATTAAGGTAGTTGATTAGTCACAGATCCATATATAATATAATACACTGTTGTGTAGCAGTATAACAATTCCATGTTTGGGGGGCATTGATCTGGATGCAGTGGTTCTTGAACTTGAGCAACCTGAGGACCTTCATTTTCACTTAAAAAAAAAAAAAAAAAAAGGCACATCATCCCTTCTCAGAGGCTCTGTCCCTTACCTCCTGCTTGCTCTATCATCCTTCTATCACTTGCTGTCCCCTACCCCCACATTCACTAGGCTGGGGCAGGAGGTTCGTATGTGGGAGGGAGGGAGGGTTCCAACTATGGTGCAGGCCCTGGGATGGGTTCAGGTCTAAGGGGTGTGGGGTGCAGGAGGAGGGTCTGGGCTGGGGCAGGGGTTGGTGTGGGTATAAACTTTAGGAGGGAGGTTGCCTGTGGGAAGGGACAGAGAGGCTGGCTTGCTGGATGGGATTTGGAGTGCTGTTGATGCTTACCACAGCTCCCAGAACTGTCCACCCGGTCTCTGCAGCCTCTTGGCATGCAGGCTGCCAGAGAGGCTCTGTGTGCTGCCCTCATGCCTGGGGAAGGGCTGGAGCTGTGGCCAGGGCTGTGTAGAGACTGCCTGACTGTTCCCTGGGGTGGGGTTGCATAGCAGCTGTTCTATGCGCCAGAGTGAGGCTGGAGTGAGGAGGAATTGGTATTAATTACCAACTGGTGACATAATTACAAGATCTGAAATATATTTTTTCAGGAATATGATGGGTGTGAGTGTGAGAGAATGTTGCACCCTGCTATTTTCCGCTGTTAGATTTAGTAGCGCAAACACAAAATGGTGAATTGTCTGCAGTTCTAGACTAAAACAGTTTTCACGTAGTATCAGGAGGGAAAGATAGAGAGCTTGATTTTGGCCATGATGAGTTTAACAGGTGTCTGTCTGCCTGGAGATGTTAAAAGTCTGAGCTAAAACGTAGTTTGTTTGGCGGGAGACAGACCCAAAGGAGAGAAATAAGGAGGGCTGAGAGAATCTGCATTAGCAGATCTTAATGCAGGATCTGACTTCATTTGTTTTGATGTTTTTCTATTGTAAAGCATGTAGGCTGCTTTTGTAGATAAGGATTCAGGCTTTAGTGAATGAATACTGAAGCAAAAGGTTTAGCACAGGGGTTCCCAACCTTTTTCAGTCCCCAGACCCCCTTGGCTTTTAGTAAACCTTCCTGTACCCCCTATTCAATATGAAAGGAAATACATTCTAGACTCTAGAATCCACAACTTTTTTCACTAACACTATTACTTTTGGAATATTTCAATTAGGATAATCTAGTTATTTACAAAATATTCCCTGTACTCCCTTGACAAGCTTCTTGTACCCTCTGGGGGTACGTGTACCCCAGGTTGGGAACCCCTGGTTTAGCACATGACATTTGCATGATTACATTTCAAAGAAAATTGACATAGGTGTTAATGGCTTAAGATAAAATAAAAGGATTTGAACAGAAAAGTGATGCAGATATCTAGTGCACTTTTTTATGCTTTTACTTAATGGCCATGTTTTTTATTTATGTATGTAGCTGTTTTCAGTATGCCCCATTTTGATGTATTTACTAGCTTAAATTGTTAGAATGATAATACATGTACTCCAAGAGTAGTGTTAATTTTCTTTTTATTGGATTTTTAAATAAATATCTTAAAACAAGGGATAGTTAACAAGAAGCAATGCTTAATGTTTTCTTCTTCCATAACTATAAACTGTTTAAAATATTTTAATCTAGGCTTTTTGTTTGTAATGGTGGTGCACATCCACACACAACCTTAATATTGGTGTTGCACACAAATTTCAAACTGCCCAAAAGAAAACTCAGCCCGCCCAAGGATGGAAAATGTTAGAGGGAACGCTGCTGGCCATCCATGCACCAAGAGGCTACGGGGAGCTGGCAGCTGCTTCTGGAAGCTGGACAGAGCCAGGACACAGATGAATACAATGTTGTATTCATTGAAAAGATTGAACAGCTGCCCTGGGAGCTGCACTTTGGGGTGACCCCTGGGCAGCCTGGGGGACTAGCAGGAGTCCAAACAGTGGCAGCAAGGGTTAGGCCTGCCCCCACACTCACTCACAGTGGCTGGAAATGGAGATATCCAGCCCCAGACTGATCTGCTTCTCTCCGCAATCTTGCAGCTGCATTGCAGCAGAGTGACCCAGCCCCAGTGCACTCCATTCCATCATTTCCCAACTGTGTCACACTGCTTCACCATAGCCAGAGTTGTCTGGCCATAGGACAGTTTAAGGTAGCCATCCCAGGCCCATGCTTTGGGTGGCCATGGGGCAGCTGCTTCAATTGTCCTATAAACAGGACTCGTGGTGCCAAGGGCAGCACAGGCACAGTTTCTGGGGGGCCTGGCCTGGGGAAACAGCAATGGTTGGCCCCCATGCCCTCACTGCAGCATCAGGAGCAGGAACAACTCAGCAGCTTCCTTCCCGCTGCTGCCCAGCTCCTAGCATGTATGCTCTGCTTCAGCATGGTGGTGGGAAGTAGAGTAACTCGGTTCCAGTCCACTCAACTGCCCATAGGGATGTGGCTAGGAGCCAGGAGAGTGGAGCAGGCTCAGGCCAGATCACTCCACAGTCTGATGCTGCATTGAGTACAGGGTAGGCCCAACCCCTGGTACTGGCACCAGACCCCTCACCCTGTGGTGGGGGGGGTGGGGGGGGGGGGGGCAGAGCATAGGGGAAGAAGTGGATTGGGGTAGGGCAGATAGGGGGGAGGAAGAGCAGGTCAGGGTCGGGGTGGTGATGGTAGAGGGGGGCATGTCTAAACACACAGGCCCCTAGGGAGGGCCCTGCCAGGACGGTTAGGGAGTAAGGATGTTAAATAGCAAGTAATTTACTAGTTGAATAGTCGATGGAATTTCTATCGACTACTTGATTAGTCCAGTGTTTCTCAACCTTTTTTTATGAAGTACATCTTTACAAAAAAATGGAAATTCCCCCCCTAAAAAAAAAAGTACCCCCAATACCTACAGTTTTCAGACCCATATTTTTTTCTACCATTGCAACACATTTGTTTAAACAACTTAATTGTAGCCAGGCAGGCGATGAAATTTTTAGGTGTAAAAAGTACAAAAATAATAAAGCGCTGTAAAACTTAAAACAAAAATCCAGTTTTCTCCAAAGTTGTGTTGACATACCCTCCCCAGACTTCTTTCGCGTACTCTTACTCATACCCCGGGTTGAGAAACACTGGACTAGTGGATAGGAGGAATGCAGAAGTGCCTTTGAAATGTACAAGAGCCCCAGCAGAAGTGCTGTCCTGGAGCCTGCCCTGGGCTCCATTCAGTGCTACTTGCTTTGAAATGTCACATGGAGCCTGGAGTCCGTTAGCTCCGGGTTCCGCATGGCATTTCCCTGGAACTCAGGGGCAGGAGCCTGGGATCAGCTGGGGAGTCACCAGCTGAACCCAAGCTCCATGCAGCATTGCTGCTTTGAAACTCCATGGCAGCATTTCAAAGGGGCAGTACAACATGGAGCCTGGGTACAGGATCGGAGTGGTGCTGCTGCTTTGCAGTACCCCCCTCTTTCCTGTTTCTATCAGAGGCAGCAATTGACTAGTTGACTGGACTATCTGATAAGCTTTTGCTTATCAAATAGTCAACTTCCTTAACATCCTTAGTAGGGAGCCTGCCTTGGCCCTGGGCCCGCTGCACCATTAAGTGGACTTTGAACAGTGCTGTCATCAGTGCCTGTGGGAGCAGCCAGCTCCATTTCCCAGCAGGCATGCTGGTGGAAATCACTTCCCCCCCCCCCCCCCCCGCGCCCTGGGGAGAG